GATCTATTTATAAGATCCAGCAACATGTCAGCCTCAAACTGGGCAAAAACCCTCACAGCTATTTCTCAAAATATTGGTAAAATTTTAGTTAATCTATCACAAAGTATATATTTATAATATTTGAAGTATTCCAGAGGTGGCTGAAATTATGCTGTTTGTGTACAAATCATACCTCTCCCAGCTTGGCTGGAACCCTTTCATGTCCGTGGTGCGGGACGTAAAATCAGCACTTGGTACTGGCAACTCATTAACCCATCATTAGTCAGTACCGTATGGTGGATGAATGGTTACACTTCAGAGTTTTGGATACAGCCGTATTGTGGCAACATTTTTTTTAAAATCCCAATTATTTATATGTATGATCGAGAGCTTGTTCGCAAATATTAATTCAATCGTGCGGGTGTGATGCATGACTTCAGGGAAGGCAAGAAAGTAGCGCGTTTTCGCACATTTATTCAGTCTATCATACAGGCAGCGTAGCGTACAATGTAGGTATGAGTTTAAGGCAAAATTTGCGTCGTGTCCGCATCAATCACATCCTCCATGGCAGTGATCCCAGCCTCAATGGAAGGCCAACGGCTGAAGACAGCATGGCTGACACCCGTCACATGGGGGGATGTGAGTTGCCTGCAGAGGAAAGAAGAGTTAAGTAAAACAATGTATTATGGAAGGACAACTCACCAGCTGGAAAAAATGCCGATACGGCGACCCCTTGTAACTAAATAAACTGCCCCTGTAACAGGACCCTCGGGAACATTGTATGCTTGACCATTGTGGGTCCTGGTACTAGATGCCAATGCACCTATGGCTGCCAGTGCAACAGGAACATGGGGACCGTGGGATGAAACGGCCAATAGAACAGTGGTAGCAAAGGGAGTCGGCGCAACGGTGGTCGAGGAAGTGTTTGACGCGACAGTGGTAGATGACGAGGTTGAAGCGATGGCGGTAGACATGTTGGCGGCGGCAGGAGCAAGAGGAACGGGGTTCCCCTGGGCGCTGTCAAGGACTGCGGACATCAGCAACATGGCATTGCTGGGATTGAGGGAAACGCAGGAGAGTAAAGACAAAACAACGCCTACAAGATACCGTTTGTGAGTAAGATACAATAGAAATGTGAAATAAAAAAAAGGACCTACCCAGGGTTTCATCCTCATTATCAACTTCATCATCACACACCAAACTTTCAGGCTGTTTGGAGCTTGAAGGTGCGGGGGGAGGAAACATTGTCATAATGAAGAAAAACAGGTATAGGAGCAAGGACTGAGTGAGCGTAAAGAGCTGGGTGAGCTTAAAAAATATGAAAAAAAAAACCTGACCTGTTATAGAGAGCCAGGACAAACACCCAAGACAGCTGTCATCCCTACAACCAAAAGAAGAGGTGGGGAGGAGCTAAAGAGACAAAGTGAGGAGAGGTCGTTGAGAGTAACGGTGAACCGAAAGATTTCCTCGTGAGAAAGAGAATATATGGAATGGAACAATATCAAAGTCATGTGACACCTTACAATGGATGTGATTCCTCGAGTGACCACCTTGCGCACCTTGGGCCCGATGAATGGTTGACCAAATATGGAGCTGCAATGAGTGTGGTGTCTGTGTCAGACTCATTGTTGCAACTCATGATATACAGTAGCGTAGTTCCTCTGCCTTACCAGATAATCATTTGGTGGTAAGAACACTGCTCCACAAAATGCAGTGTATCACAGGGCTGGTTCTAACCAGATTCTCATCTCTGTGAGGCAACGATAGACTATAACAAAAACTAAACCTATCTCCTTCTGCACTTGCAGGGAGTAAGGGTTCAATGAGCTTGAGGTCGACAGACGCTAGTAAATATAGCGAGTAGAGGACTTTGAGTGGTAAGCTTCAAAGGTTCTTGTTGAGGAGTAAAGCGGGTAAATTCAGTAATAGAAAACTAAGGAGCCATACATGAATAGGTAAGGCTTTATATAGGGAGCTGTCCGTTCCTCAGACCGAAAGGAGAATATACGAAAAGTGGTCTGAGGAATTAATCAACCAATAAGAAAAAGGGAGAGTAACTATCGTACAACTTTTGACTTGAATTAATCAGCAGGTGAGAGACTTGTACTAATAATAGAGGATCGTCACGCGTGTTCAGGGACCGTATCCTCATGATGAGGTACGATCCTAAATAAGGTGTTATTAGTATTACCAGGCTTTACTGGGGCTTGGAGCTGGTTGGCGAGATGCCTACTACCAGTCTCTACCCAGTGTGCTGGCTGGCTGGGAGCGATACCCAGTCTCTGATCTGTGATATAAAATGGTAGCGATGGTTAAGAAAGCCTGTGAGGGCTATGAGAAGTAGAACGGCAAATGATACCTCTAGCCCTAGAGCCAGAGGCGTAATGGGAAAAGCGTTTGAGAACCAAGACATAGCGAAGATAAGGAAATAATAAAACGGTCCTTACATTACCCCCCCCTTTTATATTCTTGTCCCAAGAATCTTAGCGCTGCAGTCCGTGAAGCGGTTTGTGATCCAGTCGAAGAGGCGGGGTTTTTCGGTTGTCGTAGTGAAATTTTTGTAAGGGCGAAATCGTAAGACAGCGGAGGCGATTACGCGCGAGGCGGCAGGGTTTTTGCGGTGGAATGTGGCGATAAGCGAAGGGGAATTTTTCAAGTGGTGATCGGGTTCCCACGTCCTTTCCGTGATTGGGTATCCCTTCCAATGGACGAAGTAATCAAGCTTGGCCCCTTTGAGTTTAGTGGGTCGAGAAGCAATGATTTCTTCGGCTTCGTATTCGACTGCGCCATCGACTTGGATCGGCGGAGGTTTCAAAGTACAAGGTTGATTGGGGAACTCCGGCGTGTGATACGGTGATAGGAGGATTTCGTTGAATACCGGATGAATTGCTTTCCAAGATCTAGGGACGTCTAGAAGATAAGCGGATGGGCCGACTTTTGCTTTTACCGTAAACAGGCCAAATTGCTTGTCGTCTAACTTCTTCATTGGCCGATCAGTGGAAATATGAGTTCCTTCTAACCACACCTTATCTCCTTTGTGATATTCTCGTGCTTCCGTGCGTTTCCGGTCATAGTACTTTTTGAGGTTTTGATTAGCGAGTAATAATGATTGCCGAGTTTGCTTGTGTAGTTTCGTCATAGAGGTTGCGAAATCTTCGGCAGCTTGCGAGCGCCCGGAAGGCTTCTGACCGGTCCCTTTACGAGGGTGAGAACCATAGTTTACGAAGAAGGGGGTCTGATTGGTCGCGGAGTGGAGATGATTGTTGTACCTGAATTCGGCAATGGCTAGCCAATCAGCCCAGTCGTCTTGTCGGTGATTAATGAACGTGCGCAGGTAGTGTTCTAGGTCTTGATTGATTCGTTCGGATTGCCCATCGGTTTGGGGGTGGTAACCTGTTGACAGACCGGGTTCAATCCCAAGGGTTTGATAGAAATCCTTGGTGAAGTTCGACATAAATTGAGGTCCCCTGTCCGATATGATCTTTTCTGGGATACCGTGTAGTCGTATAACCGAATCTCGCAGTTGTTTGGCATAGCCTAACAAATCAAGAGTGACGTGTGTTGGTACGAAGTGGGCCATTTTCGAGAATCTGTCAACAAAAACTTGGATAGCATCGTATCCGTTTGACTCTGGTAATGCTCCGATGAGATCCGTCGTGATTATCTGCCAAGGACGATCAGGGATTGGGTTGGGATGGAGGGGAGCATGCGGCTTTTGGCGATGCGACTTCGTTCTCTGACATATCTCGCATCCTGCGACATATTTCCTGATATCTCTCCTTAGGCTAGGCCACCAGAAGGATCGGTTTACTCCTTCGTACGTCTTTCTTTCTCCTGGATGTCCACTGAGGCTCGTGTCGTGTTCTTCTTCAATAATACGTGCCCTCAACTTTGGGTCTTTGGGTACGTAGATGCTGTTTTTGAATGACCCTAACGTCAACTCGTCTTCTTTCTCGTTTCCTATCCAGATGATTCCGTCTCGTTTCTTCCAAACCTTTGGATCTTCTTTCAACTTCTTCACCACGTAATCGTCTAGTTTGTGCTGCGAAGTTAGCAGCTCGTCCAGGTAGTGTTCTTCTAACATGTCCTCCATAGTATAAATGTTTGCTTCCGCGAGCTGAGGTAGAAGGACCTGTCCTTCGTTGTCTCTCTCGCCTCTCGGATGATCTACTCTTCGACTAAGTAGGTCCGCTTTCGTGTTTGCTGAGCCTTTTACATGCTCTAACTTGAAGTCGTATCTGGCTAGTGTGTCCATCCACCTAGCCTGTCGTCTGTTTACTTTCTGGGGGTCTCGGAAGTAGGTGAGGTTCTGATGGTCGGTGAATATGGTGAACCGGTGTTTAGCTCCCATGAGGAGGTGTCGCCATTTGTTACAATTTGTCTACCTCTATTACGGACCACTCATTTCTCTTTACTCATTGGTTATACCATCGGACCGATGACTCACGTCCCTCACATACACTTCCGCTCCTCTCGCACTTCTATTACTTTGTATAGTACTCAGTCCTCAACGGACAGACCTACCCTAGATAGGACGTAACTCCTATCACCGACTTACTTCTCTATAAATACGCTTGTAACAGTAGTAGTATTCTCCAATACGATTCTACGCAGTTCACGCTTACAAAGCTAGAACTTCCAAGATCAGACTTCCATACGGAAGAAGACCAACAACCGTTGGAATCCCTCTATTCAGAATTACATCCTCGAACTTGTCTTCGGATAAGTCTCTTTGAACAAACTCGACGAACCCTCAGACTTTGTTAAGCACTTTGTGCGTAACACCATTCTTCTAACGCATGCATTACCGCTAGCATCTCTTTATCCCAGATAGTGTAATTTCTCTCTGCAGGGTTCATCGACTTTGACAGGAATGCGACCGGTCTCCATTTCCCTTCTTGCTGCTGGGATAACACCGCTCCTGTGGCGTAGTTGGAGGCGTCACATTCAACTTTGAATGGATCCTCGTCGTTAGGGATTGCGAGCGTGGGCGAAGTGGTGATTGTCTTTTTGAGAACGTCAAATGCTCGTTGCTGGTCTTCAGCCCATTCCCAGTCTACCTTTCCGGTGAGAATCGTTAGTGGTTTGGCAATTTTTCCATAGTCTTTGATAAATCGTCTGTAAAAGTTCGAGAATCCTAGGAACGACTGTAACTCTTTCTTTGTGCGTGGTGTTGGCCATTCTGCGACTGCTTGTACTTTCAGTGGGTCCATGCGAATCGTATCGTGTGAGATGATCATTCCTAGATATTTGACCTCTTTCTTCTCGAACTCGCATTTCTCTGGCTTGAGATATAACTGATTGTCTGCGAGTATCTGAAAACTTTAGATACGATCTTCCTATGTTCTTCTAACGAGTCGGTGAATATCATGATGTCGTCGAGGTATACGATAACAGATCCTTCATTGATTAGGTCTCGGAGAAGTCGGTCCATCATTGTCTGAAAGGTGGCTGGGGAGTTCGTAAGTCCGAAAAACATAACCAGAGGTTCGAACAGTCCTCTGTTAGTTCTGAAGGCAGCCTTGTGCTCATCTCCTTCTTTGATTCGAACATTATTATATCCCCAACGGACATCCAGCTTGGTGAAGAATCTAGCTCCTTTAAGTCGGTTTATCAATTCTGAAATGAGGGGTAACGTATATCGGTTTTTGATCGTGAGGGTGTTGAGTTTCCGATAGTCTTGTACCGGTCTGAGAGATCCGTCTTTTTTCTTGATAAAGAAGAACGGGGATGCGTAAGGGGATTTTGATACTCTAATCCTCCCTGTCTCCAGGTTCTCTTTCAAAAATTCGTCAAGATGAATTTGTTCGTCTCGGTTAAGTGGATACGTTTTACAGTCTAGACCTTTGGCTTCTGGTAGGAGTTCAATTGCATGGTCCCAGACTCATCATGGGGGAAGTTTGTCAAACGACACTTTTGTGAATACTGGCTCAAAACGATGATAAAACGGGGGAACGACGTCTCTGAACGTGAGTGTCGACTTTGCTCGTTCTGATTCTTCTGCAATCTGCTGGCTTTTGGTTTGAGATACGTTGCTTTCAACGGAAATTTTGTCAATCCTGCTCTGTAAGTCTACAGCGATGACTCTATCTCCGTCTTCAGGGTGATACTCCGTATCATCGGAAGGGTACGTGATGGTGTTGGTTTGCCAGTTGATGTTGGGATTCGTGCGTCGTAGCCAGTCATGTCCTAATAAAATTCTGGCCTCTCTCTGTCCAGTGACCAGGAAGTCCATTAATTCCGTG